ATTTTAACACAATAAAATTTTATACAATAAAAAATTCGAACTTTGTGAGAAATTATCGTAGCTTTTTTTTCAAGAAGCATTTTAAAACTTAGAATGCTTGTCTATTAAATTTTGTCTGATGATGTTCCATCAGAGCGCTTCAAAGAATACAACAATATTGTAAAAAATCAATTTTCAATTTTATACACAGGAACAAAATATCATAGAAACAAAATTCATATGTTAAGTTGAAGTTCTATTTTTTCTCTTAAAATGCATTTTTAAAAACTTCTCTATGATTTCTTATCCCCGAGATACTATTAAGTTTTTGTAAAATGCAAAAAGTCGTAAACGTTCCCGAATTTATAAAAGGTACGTAGTGTATATATTTACATCTAAATTATACGGCTCCTAAAATTTTACCTTTATATTCTGAAAATCAATTTAAAAAGGATTGCGTATCGCTGCATACTATAAATCTTTATTATGTCTTATCCTCAATTTCAATACTTACAGTGTAATCATGATAATTAAATGTAAAATGCATGTTCAAAAATATAAACGAGACATTTAACTCACAAAGTGTATTAAAAATTTCTATTAAGTAATAACGGAAACCAGTATCGACAATCTGCATTTTACCTTCTTATTTGCGAAATTAATATGGAACTGAAAAAAGTACACATTTAAAATGAACTAGATATATGTACCGATTTACGCCTTCATAATAAAAATATTATCACAAATTGAATTACAATAATTATAATTGACTTTTAATAGAGGACACACTAAAATTATAGGTTAATTTTTAAAAATGTAAATGATATTACTATGTAAATGATATAAATTCGCTACTCTGCATATTTAATTGTAAATTAATGGATCGCTTTATGAAATATTACTGTGATTGTTCGCGCAATACATAAATTATACATAAAGATTTTTTTGCTGTGCTTTATTTTATGCCTTATTTCAATATAAGTAAATACTTTTATTATTCAGTAACAAGAATGAATTAAAAATTTCAGAAACATGCATTCACAAACATTAAAATAAATCCTTTTCAATCTGAATGCATGTTTATATTCATTTATACGAATTGAATGAAGCACATTTCTACATATATTTTCAATTAAAATAAAAATAAAATATCAGCTTTTCTGTGTCTCGCAAATACTTCTCAATTCAAAATTTTAAATAGGAAATGCAATTCTTTATCCAATTATATCTAATTAAATCCAATTCAATCTCCAATTTAGTTGAATTTAAAAAAGTTTTTGTTATTTAAAATACGCATTCGGATAGATAAAATTTCAGTTCATTTTAATTCATTCTTGTTTACTGGATTATAATCATGCAAAGATACATGATATTTGAATGGCTTTGTAAGTAATATGACAAAAAAAATTTTAATATGAATTCCGAGATCTCCTTCCTTCCTCCTTACATACATATATTTTCCCAACTTAATATTACAATAGGACAGATTCGTCAGATTCGATTTTATATTTAAGATTGATTAAAATCCAACTTCAGATAATCTTAAAATTTCAACTATTGAAATGACCATATGACATCTTGGCCATATGACTTTATAGGTTGGAACGAAAGTTCATAGCACTACTTCATTTGTATCATGTTTGTTTTAAAAAAAAATTGATAATTATATTATAAAATAAACAATTATCGATAATGCGAAGTTTCAACTTTAAATTGGTTCTTTAGCAAAGCGTTGAAAATTTGGAGTACAGGATCCAAAATTACAAATATCTTCATAATTTAGATAAAGCATTAAAACTACGTGTATATCTTAATGAAATAATATGGAACATAATGATAAAAAATCAAGAGCTGCATTTTTATCGAACGAAAACAAGATGAAATTATGTTTGCTTTTTTGAGAGGTTAATTCTATATGCATGTTTATGCATATGAGTATCTTTCTAGAATAGCCGTGATTTATTACTCTTTTTGTGATAAATCGTAATTTTTTAAACTATTATAATCTTTCTCGTTTTTGAGAAAAATCTGTGATAAGATTTGTGTGCAATTAGTCAAAAAAGCGTTTGCGATCCTTATCTGTCACTAAGTTATACGTGAAAGATTGCACTTTTAATATTTTTTTCTCTCTCTTATTTCATCGTTAACTTATCGTAGAATTTGAAGAATCACCCTAAGATCGTTCTTTAATAAATCAAGTTGCTGTAGAAATATTTAATTTTTTTATATAATAAAACTGCACCGAACTTGACATGTGCAAAATTTTAGGATAAATTAACGTGATGAAATAAGAGAAAAAAATCATTTATTACAGAAAAAAATGTTGAAAGTGTAATTTTTAATGTGTAACTTAGTGACAGGTAAGAATCAGAAATGTTTCTTTAACTAATTGCACATAAATATTATCACAGACTTCTATAATACCATTAAATATTTCCATTATTTCTCTAAAAAAACAAGATTATAATTAAAATTACAGTTATAATTAAAAAATTACAATTATAATGGCCACAAAAAAGTAATAGGCCATTCTGGAAAAATATTTACATCACATAAACTTGTATACAAATTTAACTTTGAAAAATAAACATAATGTCACCTTGTTTTTAATTGGTGAAGATGCAGCTCTTTTAATTTACTATCGTATGTTCCATACTATTTCATTAAGATATACACGTAATCCAAATTTTTAATCCAAATTATAGTAGATATTTGTAATTTTGGATGGGTCTTGATGAGGCACTCCAAATTTTTGGTATTCTACTAAATAAAGAATCACTTTAACATTAAATCACAGACACACTGATTCTTGATATTACAAGAAAGATATTAAAAAATTTACAATATATTATAGAATCATACATATGATAACACAAACTATAAAAATCAGTGCTTTAAACGGTCTAGCTGGATCTTAAATGCTTGTATGAATTTATATACTACATACATATATAGTCCTTTGAAACGCGCCGAAAAAGTTTTTTGGTCTTGAAACGCTAACTCTATTAAATTACCGCAGTAACATCACGAGTTAAATTGATTAGCGGTTTGATGCTTTTTCGTACTTTCGAACGATCTTAATTCGAACGATTAAGCTGAGTGACATATTAAAATCTGTAAATAATTACTTCTTATTGCGAAAAAAATTAACAATTTATTTATGAAACAATTTATATAATTCCATTCTTTAGAATAAGCATAATACGCGATACAAAAGATAACGAAATGACATAACGCAGTAAAAAAAGAAAGCAATAAAAATTATTGATGACTCAAGACACGCGTTGACACGTGAATTGTATGTAAAATACTAATCAAATTAGCATTATATTGAGTAACATTAAATATCAAGTGAAGTATATATTTTTTACTTTGCTGCGTCCTTTCAATATCTTCTCAAGAAACGGTATGTGGCTCAGATGATTCAGAATTGCAGTTAGGTCACCTAGTTCTGGTTGAGACCTCTTCAGTGCATAAAGATGTTCTTACAGTGACTCGTGAACGGATCCAATCCCCTCCACAAAGGCTTGTCCGGATAACCGTTGTTAATAGGTCGATATGTTCATAAAACTGGTACAGCAATACCGGTAACGCAACTGTGGTTCCTTCTCACAATTAGTCGAAGAATTCAAAAATTTTATTTACATTGTGATCATTAATCCTGGGAATACTCTATCAATTCTATCTTTTCATAAAAGTATTTAAATCCCTTGTTCTCCGAAGATAAATATTTAATATTCAAACTAATCAGCTGTATAAAATCTTCCTGTATAAATTAAATGATATAAATAGAATCGAAATAGTAGAAGCTTCTATAATAAAGTTATAAATTTCAATGAAAAACTTGTTTTAAAATCTGAAACTTGCTTATAATAACTTTGTATAATATTAAATGCGCTTTGTATAATATTAAATTGTTTTTTCAATCGTCAATTTTAGGATAATGACTCGAAGAGTATATATTATTATTAGAAATGATTAAGAAAATGCATTCCTAATGATAATATGGATTAATTCATCGTTATTTTAATTTTAAATTCTAAATAAAATTTAATTGATTATATAAATTATAAAATTAATATATAACAAATAATTTAAATTTGGATTTAAATTTGAATTTAAATAACGACGAATAAGGTAGTCGATATTAAAAATATCACCGCAATTTGTCTCCGCAAGAGAAACATTACGGTAAAACTAATTTCGAAGAACAAATTATGTCTGATACTTATTGAATAATTTAACTTTTACAGATAGTTTATTATTCATATATGCATATTTTTTTTTAGAGACAAGAATATTGTTTATTTCAATGTAGACTCAAATTCCTATGCAAGAGCATATAACATTCGACCTTGTCTGTGCAACTCCCCGTGTTTTTCACAGAGTAGCACTGAGACAAATATTTGCAAGCTTCTAATTAAAAATAAACAAAATATATAGTAGAATTTTTTTGTTAAATCTATTAGAATTCTAATACTAGTTGAGATAACCAGAATTCTGATTGATATAATTAGAATCTTATGATTTATCCAGACATTTTCAAGCAGACATTTTTCTCAATGAGAGCATCGTTTATCCCTAAGGAGGCTGTGTTCGCGAAAAATAAATCGAAGAATGCTCATCTTTGATTTCATCTTTTACTTCGTACCAAACGCAGATCGATGCGGAGGAGGATATGGTACTATTGAAGAAGGGGTACGAAAGTGGAGGTGGCAAAAGTGGGACCGTGTCAGCTCAACCAGAGTGACAAAATGCGAGCTGTTTTACTCGCGAAAAGTTGTCGAGGCAGAAAAGAGGATCGATTAAGATCCACGCGCGCGAGGAGAAAGTTATT